TCTTCCATATCCTATACTCTTACGTTTCATAAACTTCCCCAGGATTTGAATTTTGCTGAACTTGTTCTTCAATACAGCGGTGGGGCTCTTATCCACCTGATGTTGTTGTTGCTCTCCTGGCCGTAGTAATGTTGATTTTGAGCCATTGATTGAAAGTCTATAATTAGTGATTGAACGGTGATGGGAGTGTCTTGTATACGTATGTATAAAGAGGAGAAATGCATGCAGAAAATTATAAAAGGTATTACGTATTGGATGTTTGTATCACACATAGTAGTGTTGCACGACAATAAGGATTTTATTGCTTCACACTTATCTTTTCCTATTTACCTTCTTAAGACCATGTTTGGTGGCTTTTTAAAATTCTTGTAATGTGGAGAATACATGGAAGAGCATTACTTTGGCACAACTGTGACTAGTGGGGATACAAAAAGCGACTCCAAAGCTTATTCAGATTATTGATGTCAATTGTCAATTTGCAACACAAAAAATGTCATTTTTGTATTAAAATCTTGACTATATGCTTCATAAAAAATTTATTTGTATAATAAACCATTGCAAGAATTCACAAAATGATTTTTAATAGGCCAAATTTCACCGAAGATAATTAGTTTACTAAACTTCAATTTTACTAACCTTGTCTCATGTTGATAAGCCATTGTTTGGTGTAAATTAAAATCAGATTTGTTGTAACTTTTGATAAAAGTTGACGAAATGTATGATTGAAAAGTGTGAATCTCATAAGATGTGTCGTTAAAATGAATTGTTGACATTGAATTGAGATTTTAATTCGAACCAAACAAGGGTGTACATGTGACCATGCGCTTTCGATGTGTTTGCATGTATTTATGTCCCTACTAAATTTGTTGAGGTCAATCGAGAAGTAAGCTAATAATTTATGTTTCTTTACTTGAATAGGTGCCAACAGCTTCTACATGTTCTCAATGACTTGTTTGAACAATATTCTTAAATGAGGATGCCAATTAATCTAACTGACTAACCCTTGCTTAGAGGTGTCAACTGGGCCGTGCAAGGTTGGTAGTGAATCCAATTTTGGCATAAACTAGCCCACCAAAGGAATTTTCCTTTTAGACATTTCTTTGAAATTGTTTTTGATACATAAATTCGAGTCAGACCCAGGACGCCTGGCCCACGACACATACAGTGTCAAGCCCGGTCAGGACATAATTCGATCTCTGTTCATACTTTATGGAAAGATATCTTGAACCAGTGGACTTTGCTCTTAAAGTGGAGAAACAAACTTATATATTCAAATTAAATCTTGATGCGGATCAATTAGAAGGGGAAGAAAATTATAAACCAATTGAAAAAGAGAAGTAATAATAAGGATCTACGAAAGTGCACGACTTTCAATTCGGGTGATAAATTTACGCGAGTGAGTAAAATCCAAAATCGTTTTTTGATTCTACACTTTTTTGCTGGGTGACTTTCAGGGTCAAATTCTGTCGTTTAGGGGTTCGTTTTAGCAATTTTCTATTTAGAGTCAATTTAAAAGTAACGTTGTCATTTTACCATTTTTTTCAGTTTTATTCAAATTTATTTACAAAATTAGGCTCTCATTTTGACTAAAATTATTTTAAGGGTTTGAAACCCCTATTTTTTTAATTAATAATAATATAAATTTTTCGTTCATCAATGGATTTCAATATTTTTCACGTATAGTCAAATGAAATTTAAGCAACATCCATTCGTGTATTACGAACAAGATCATTGTATTATTATTTACATTTCTATCATGCGCCAAATCTTCAAGAAGCCCATGCATGATTTTTATATTTGGGCGACAATTAGACTTGAATTTTAAACCAATGTCTACGCCGATATCCTTTTAAACCATTATATCCGAAAATTTATGATGCTAAAGGGACAATGAATTTACTTATTTACATTAAGTCTTCAACATAATGACAATCCTAAACAATTATATGTTGAAATATTTTTGAAGAATTAGCCGTTTAAACAATAGTTTGTGTGTTGATTTAGTTAGAAATATTGAAAAGATCTTTTAGGTATAACGTTATTGTTAAAATGGCCGCGAGATGAAAGAAAGTTTGCTAACAATTTATGCTAACAAGTGAAAGAAAAGTGGTCCGGAGATGTATGCATTATTCAAAACTTTAATAAGTAAGGTTACGATAATTTTTTAAAAGTGAGGAGAGTGTGTTCAAGATTTTCCTAAACTTTAGGGGATGTACGCATTATTTAAAATAGAAATAAGGAAGGTTTATGTAATTTTATATATATATATTTTTTAAAAAGAGATGATTATAAAATTGTCAGAAACGTCAGGAAGTTATGTAGTTTGCAATTATATTCATGTTTTTATGAAAATGAAAAACAATTTTTTAAAGAGTACAAATAATATTTTCAATAGCTATAGTAATGGATCCTCGTGGGAACTTGTTAACTCGCGTGTTGGTTTATAATTAATTGAAACCACTAAAATGAGTTTTTTTTTTTCTCTGTGTTTGAAAATAAAAAAGATTTTTGAAATAGCTATTATTATTATTATTTTTTTTTTTTGAAAAATAAGTAGCTAAAAAAAATTGAAATTACGTACAAAATATTTTATTATTAGAACATGTAGTTAAAAATGAGTTTGAGAAAAAATAATTTTGTTTTAATGATTATCAAAGAGGGGTTAAACACCATACATTCTTTGTACATTTTGAATTGCATGAAATGTACCGTAGATATATTGCATTCTCATTTTATATCTTCTATTACGCTCGAGATGTATTATCATCTTCTACTTAGAGCTAGATATTAAAATATACGGTTAGATTTAAGTAATTTCAATGTTTTATGAAGATGCAAAACACTAATTTGAGGTACAAGAGGGAGTGGCCTCCTTTATCTAGAAATTACATAATTTGATAACTATGTAAATTTATATTAATTATGAAAAACTTTCCAACAAGATAAAATATTTAGACAATTGACCTTTTTTTTTTTTTTGCCAACATTATTCAACAAGAAATTGAAGGGGGGTTTGGTTTATGCTTTAGTTTTCAGTTTTCAATTTTGCATTCATTTTTAATTTTCTACTTTGATAGACCATTTTGTCAAAAACACCTTTGATTTGTTATTTTGAAAATTTATTTTTCAAAATAGAAAATTAGAAAACAAGTTTTGATTTTAAATTTTGAAAAGTAATTTTATGATGTTTTGTTCCATCAAATTTGATTATTCAATAAAAATAGAACAATTTTGTATTAATATATTATCAAGCAATACATAAATTTTAGAATTTATGAATCTTATAGCATTTTTTTCTTGCTAAAAAGGTAAAATAAAAATAAATAGCAAATTGACTTCAAAATATTGTAAATAAAAATAAGAATTAATGACCTGGACTCAAAATATTTTTATTTGTGTTCATTCAAATATATTTTTAAAATTTTTATGTAAAAATTATTTAAGAACATGAATTACTTTAATTTATTTTCTTTTAGAAATTTTTATAATTTCTCTTCTTCAGAATTTTTATTTTTCTAAATATTATTTTTTAAAATTTAAAATTTTATATTTTAAAACATTTTTAATTTTTTTTTCTTCTAGAAATTTATCAATTTTATTTTTAAAATTATTTTTCTCACAAAAAAAAATTTATTTTTCATAATTTTATGTTTTTATTTTCAATTAAAAATTTTGTTTAAATAAAATTTTATTTACACGCTTGTTTTGCACATTTATTTGTTTTTCAAAATTTTCAATGAAAATACCCAAAACGTCAAAAAATGTATTTTGAGTTTTACTTTATAATTTTATCCTTGTTTTCAAAAATATATTTTTTAAAAATACTAAACCAAACATGTTTTCAACGTTTTGCAAAATAAAAAATTTGAAAACAACTTGAAAATCGCAAGACAAGCACGTGCTAAAATTTTCAACCCAATAGACTACACATATTTAAAGATTGAGTAATGCTACATGTAATCGACAATCATAATAGCCCCCTACGTAACATACTAGTGATTGTTTTATTATCAACATGAAAATTCATTTGATTATTTCTTTTATATATATATATATATATATATATATATATATTATTAAAATCATGACACCTAAAATACCACGTATTACAACTATTATAGTTACTCAATATGAATAACGTTATTCTTAAAGATTAGTTTAAATATTTGAACTTTGATCAATTTGATCCTGTAGTTACTACAATATAAGTATAATCTATCATCAATTGTAAGCAAAACATATCACAAATCTTCGGGGGCGGGGGGAATGTACGACATTAAAAGCTAAGCATGAAAGCTACTTTAAAATAATAGAAATCGACGATACAAGAACCTGTATTTTCATCTCACCTTAAAAGCTACTTCAGATGCATTAACCTCTCCCCACCCACACTAACATCTTGCTTTCAGCTTCCATATTTTTAGCCAATGACCCTCCAAAAGCAATTGCAGGGACTGCAAAATTAGCAGTTGAAGGTGCTTTTTTACGACTCCAATGAACCATCCTCCTCGGGCAGACCAAATATTCTGAGATTTCTATCCATGGATCCTACAGCTATGTATTTTGCATCTGGGCCAAATTTTACGCTCGTCGCTTTACCTGCATCAGAAGGAAATGATTTTATGCTAAACATCGTGTCTATTTCACTTCATAAATTCTTAGAGCAAATTGCAAAGTCTCTACAGTACACCAGACCACATGTAACAGTTGAAAGAGCAAGTGGAGGGATCTTACCTGTGCCAGACAAGTCTGGAAAAGTTTTGATGCAGTTCCATTCGGTTTTGACAGTGGCAACTTGATAAACACTGACGTACCACCACACGACAAAATTAGCTTATAAATTGGCAACAAAAACGTAAACATCTCTTTAGTTAATAAAATGATAAAGCAGTCAATGATGGTGGGGGTAATAATCAAAATTATCATTTTAAGGAAAAATAGTCAAGACAAGGGAAACGGAAATAATGATAATGCCATAATCGGCGGTTGTACGCCAAACTAGTGGCAGTCTTTTTTGAATAATTACCGTATATCCGAGCCTCCCAATGCAAGGTAACTTCCGCTGTGGTCAAACTCCACTACAAATTCAGAAAGGAGAGAAGTATCAGATCAGAAGATAACATAAGTGTGTATAAGTAAAACAGCTGATCGAATCCGTGAACAGTAGTACTTTTTTCTCTGTTTCATCAATAAGAGTTGCCAAGTTCTCTGGATATCATAATCAAATTCTTATCTTTTGGAAAGCACTCAAAAGGTAATGAATGCCTTCTCTATATTTCTTTATTTTCTGAAACCTGGCATAATGTCTTGACCTGTCTTGCAATATTATGTTAGATCACTGTGACGTGTTCCTTTCAGTGCCTTATTAAGTACTGCTTGCTATCAAGAGTAAGAAATCACAATTTTCTGAAATCTTGATCTCATGCTCTCAGACACAGCATCCAATATTAGAAATGCTATATATGAGACTGGTAAACACCTGATTGTGTAGGTGTATTTTCATCATATGGAGTAAAAGTCCTAAAGTTTTTCAATTTGCGTAGATCCCAAAGCTTGACACCATCTTGAGCCGCTGTCTGGAAAATTAGAACAAAATAGTCAGAACATTGAATGCAGCATTATCAGTCACACAGTGTCTTTTCTTGGAAGGAAAACCTACAGCGAGGAAGTAACCGTTCTCTGAAAATGAAATGGCAGTTACAGCCCCGACATGCCCGTCAAATCTTGCAACATTCGTCTGCCAAAAGAAATATTAAGACTGCTAGAAGAATAGAATGAAAACAGAGACTATCAAAAGATGAAGACACACCTGACTTTTTACGTCCCAAATCTTAACAAGTGCCCCAGAGGTGCCAGTTCCAAGGATAAGACCATCAGGATGAAAAGCTGCAGCTGTGTAACCATCAGAAGAACCGGAAGTGTCTTCAACCTGCAAAAATCTTAAAGAACATTTAAACTAGAAGTAACAGAGATGTAATGAGATAAATATTCTGTCAATAGGATTGAGACCTGAGTGAGGCATAAACCAGAAGCTATTTCGTAGAAGCACCATGTGCTGTCAAGAGATGCAGTCACGAAGTAGTTAGATGTAGCATGGACTGTAACTGCTTGCACCTGTCATATTTTCACATATTACGTGGATTAGGTTAAGAGTATAAATTTTTTTTTTCTTTTTTTTATCAGTTAGATCAACTTTAGCAAGAGAACAAGCCAGGAGGTGGATCTTAAATCATCCTCCTCCTAAATGAGAACTGAGTTCAAAATGTAAAATAGGAGACGGATCAACAGATGGAGGTGACACAGACCAAGACAAGACACTAGAAAATATCTTCTTCAAATCTTTCATCATAAGTAATAATCAACCTAGGTTAATAATTTCTATAAAGTATTCCGTCTTAATTATAATTTAAAACCTTTGAATTCCAAAGTGCTCCTTTAAGTCTCAAGTCCTAAATTATGATTTCGTTCCCTCCTAATATCATCAACTAAAACTAAATCATTAGCGAACAACATGCAGTACATGAACTAATCTTGGATACATCTAGTAAGCTGCTCATTGAGAGCACAACTTGGAGGAGAACATTGATGCAAACCTATTGTAAAAGGAAATTCTATTATACGGATAATATTGATATACCTAGTAGAAATTCCTATTTTGGGGTAATACTCAATATAGCACTATCATAGAAATGCTTTTGTGTATTTCTATTCTATATAAATAAGAACTGTATGCAAAAACTGTTTCTTATTAATACTTTCCACCAATATGAAGAGATTATAATTACCATAATAGATCTCCCTGGCATAAAACCAAACCAGATATTTGAAATATTTAAATTACACTTCCGGATTCCAAAGTGCTCCTCCAAGTCATAAACTATGATTTTATTCCCTCCTGATGTCATCATCTCAAACTAAATTACCACAAATAACAAGAACCAAAGGAATTCATCCTGGATACATCTCGTAAGCTCCTCAATTACCAAAGAGAAATAGCAGAACTAGGAGTGGAACCTTGATGCAAACCAATTACAAAAGAAAATGCACTACTACTAATAATATCGATATATCCAGAAGAAATTCCTTTTTTTCCCCAAATAACCACCATAGCACTATCATAGAAATGCTATTGTATGTTTATTTTCTAAATAAATAAGCACCTTACACAAAACCTGTTTTTTTTTCAATACTTCATCATCAACATGGAAGAGGTTATGTTTTCCATATTAGATCTCGCAGGCATAAAACCTAACCAGATATTGGAGATATTTAAATTACGATTAATTTATCCTCAATCACACTATACCACAAATTCATAGGATCACTCGTACAATACGGCCTTCAACAAAATATGTCAAGCATCCAAAAGGACATTAAGGGTCTGTTCGGTAGTGATTATGAGAATTGATATTTTGATTACTAGAGAGAAAAGTGGATCCCATCTATGAGTAAATAAGTAAAAAATGACAGTTGGAATAATGAAATAACAATAAAAAAATTGATTTTTTGGTGTGAAAATTGCTACCAAACAGGGGCCAAGTAACAAATATACATATTCTAAGCGGTGTAAGTCTGATTGAAGGGCAGTGCACTAGTCACAGGATTTCAAAATAAAGCCACTTTTTATTGAAAAGAGATTGATATGCCAGATTGTCAGAATTCCATATTTCAATACACCTACCCATTCTCAGCAGATAAAGCAAAATATCTGGTTGACTGAAGAGAAAAAAATAAACAAAATTCATTAACAAGAATCGTGTGCAAGCAACCTGCACACCTTGACTTCGTTTGGGCTAACTTAGGAGCAGATAGTAACAAATGAACACATCTCAACAGGTAACTCAAGCTTCAAGCACAATCTGAAGTCATTGAATATGTCAAAATCATGAATATAACAGTAAAAACAGAGGGCAGTGCACTAGTCACAGGATTTCAAAATAAAGCCACTTTTTATTGAAAAGAGATATTGATATGCCAGATTGTCAGAATTCCATATTTCAATACACCTACCCATTCTCAGCAGATAAAGCAAAATATCTGGTTGACTGAAGAGAAAAAAATAAACAAAATTCATTAACAAGAATCGTGTGCAAGCAACCTGCACACCTTGACTTCGTTTGGGCTAACTTAGGAGCAGATAGTAACAAATGAACACATCTCAACAGGTAACTCAAGCTTCAAGCACAATCTGAAGTCATTGAATATGTCAAAATCATGAATATAACAGTAAAAACAGATGAGAATTTTCAATAATGTTCACCCAACAAGCAACCCCTGAATCAAAGGTCTTTGTCTAGTGAAGAAGTAATCTGCCAAGCCTAACAACTGTGATGTGTGATTCTCAACCTGAGAGCAAGCATTAATGCCAACTTGCCAATATACACAGTATGTAGATAGGCCTCACAACAGCCTTAACAGGGCAGAAATCAAGGACTGTTCATCTAAATATACCAACACCACCAGTAAATACAACTAAAATCAATAAATACAGTACATGGACTCCACTTAAAGCATCTAGAATGCTTGTGGGATGAAGCAATACACCAATTACCTAAATTACTGGTTACTGGTTACTGGTTACTAAGTTGCATAAAATCCATTAAAAGAATCTAGCATGCATTAAAAGAATCTAGCATGCATACTCGTCCAAGCCTCCATTACCCATTCTCCAAATTTCACAATACAATGCCGTATTAAAGGGAGCCTAACAACTGTGATGTGTGATTCTCAACCTGAGAGCAAGCATTAATGCCAACTTGCCAATATACACAGTATGTAGATAGGCCTCACAACAGCCTTAACAGGGCAGAAATCAAGGACTGTTCATCTAAATATACCAACACCACCAGTAAATACAACTAAAATCAATAAATACAGTACATGGACTCCACTTAAAGCATCTAGAATGCTTGTGGGATGAAGCAATACACCAATTACCTAAATTACTGGTTACTGGTTACTGGTTACTAAGTTGCATAAAATCCATTAAAAGAATCTAGCATGCATACTCGTCCAAGCCTCCATTACCCATTCTCCAAATTTCACAATACAATGCCGTATTAAAGGGTTCAAACTGGTGAAAAATGTTTTTGTTATTACAATAAGAAAACCGGGTTCAACATAATAAATCATCCAAATCTACCTCGATTTCAATTAAAAATATAACTCAATAAAATGTGAAGTGTTAGCTTCCAAAAAGTAAGTTTAATGCAGAATATCAATGAATGATACATAGACACAAAATTTACCTTACCAAAAGTAAAAAAGTAGTTAATAAAATCCATACAACATGAATAAGATTTGAATAAATGACCAATGAAGGTAGGATACCTCTGCAGTATGATCCTTCAAAATATGCCTACAATCATAATTTCCATTTTCGCTTCCTTGCCACAAACGAACTGTCTGCAAAGAGCATAATATAATAATGGTTTTGAAGCAAACAACTAATGAAACACTATATCAATGGGCAGTGCTGTGATATAATGGGCAGTGCTGTAACTAACAATGAAAGTAATACTGTTCCACTATGGACTGAAATTGAGAATAATGATAATCATGAAGTGCAAATCAAATCAGTATAGCATATAAATGTCCTTTTATGTCATCATGCCCATTTATATTCTTATCCATTCCTCCTCCGTCCTCCTATCCTAGTGGACCAACTTTTGATTATTATATACAGATTGGGAAGTAGAACAATACAAGCTTCTATTCAATGTAGTTAGAGAAACAATTGGTGTGTCTCTCTCCTTTCACTAACCTTTTTCCAGTCTGAGGTAATTAAATATAATGGTACCATGATTTAACTAATTTAATCTGATTATAACGTAAGGGGCTTAACAGGTAAATAAATAAACTGATGCTTTGATTTAATTCCATTGGAAAAGTCTAAATGGACAAATATATTTAGAAACCAGACATCCTTTACGGATCAGAGTATAAGACCCTTGGAAAATTGGAAACCTTTTGCAATAACATATATAGAGTTCAGCAACAAATTTATAAACAAACATGCTAAGTGTCCTATAAATGTGGCTGAGCCGGGAGAATGGCTCCATCTCAGAAAAATTCTTCAAACAAAGGATTAACACGGGATAGATTGACAAGAATGCTGGCAGATATTCCAGCAAGTAAACAGAAGTGAATAGAATAATATGCTCCATTTTTAGCTCAAGCCAATTATTACTGATTTAACAAGAGAAACCGCAAATAGGATGAAATTACACGCTTTAGTTATGAAATTCTAGATTTTAGAAATTATTTGTCAAACTGTAAAAAATGAAATCCTCTACATGAAGGTTTTCTAGTTTACAAGTGCATCCCAAGTCTTGACCAAATCACTAATTTCCAATTTTGTAGTTTAATTACTTAACTTGATGTCTAGATAGGCATTTTGTGCTCCCATAGAAAGATTATTACTTAATTTGATGTCTAGATAGGCATTTTGTGCTCCCATAGAAAGATTAGTAGGTACCCATGTAAAGAAAATGTAGAGAGGGTCTGATCAAGTGCAATCCAAATATCCAAGCAAAGCCATTAATTCCAGTTTCAAGAGTCGGAAAACATTTTGCTGGTCATATTATAAATACAATTACAGGTAACAAAATATAATGGAGCAATCAACTTTGACAGGAAATAAGTGACAAAACAGAACAAGAAATTCTTCCATGTGTAACAATTTACCTTGTCAGCAGATCCAGTAACTACTAATTCACCTTCAGCCACAAATTTCACACTTGTTACCTACAAATGACACACACACAAAAATAAAATAAATAAATAAAACGACTTTCATTGACGAAGCATAAATAAACTAATTCGAGGACAGAAAATAACATATACAACAACATGCATAAGGGAAAAAACAAAGAGAGTTCAGCAGACCTTCTTTGAATGACCATTAAGCGTAGATACTATCTGCCCTGAAGTGCGATCAAAGACTACAGCATTCGTGTCAACTCCAGCAGTCGCAATAATGTCCTAAAGAAACATGAAGATAAAGCACGCTTCTGATTATGATAAATCTAATATGCATTTAGAGTTCTAAAAGAAAAAATTCCAGGCAACAGATAATCTGGATCAATAGACCGAATTAACATATTCCAGCTAGAAAGGTCAAAAATTCCCACTAGCCCACCAACCCTGCAACCACAGAAGCAAAGGGAATGATTTTGAATGGGTACAATCCATAACAAGTGCTCTTTTCTCCTTAAAATATTCACAAGTTAACAGCAAATTATTCAGAAGCCTTTACTGGAACATGACACTTGACAATATGTTGAGCATCAGTCACCACATACGAGCACAAAAACGCTCATATAAAAAACTAATCTTGAAAGAATTAACTAATTTAACCTGTAAAAGGCACAAAGATACACCGATCCCAGATTAGGCAAACGAGAAATTGATCTACGAAATCTAACATTCTTCCAATCTAATGCAACATGTAGTCACCATGCTCACTTTGTTTCAAAGAAAAAAAGGAGGACAAACAGATACTTTAGGCTTTTTTAGCCCATTAATTTACCATTCATGGTGGGAATCAGATAACTGGAAATCTATTCTAGTGTTTGGTAAGTTTTTCTATATTAAGATAGAGGAAATGATTCCATAAAACTGTGAATTGGACAGCAAAACTTCAAGAATTTCAACCCATTTGAGATTTAGCAGTGTGATTTCTTGGTGAAGAATCTGAGATAAGGTCTTGCAATAGTGTAACTACCCTTTCTCAATTATCTACACAATGCCAATTCTCCCCATATCAAGTTCCTTTATCCTGCCCAGAAAGTCATCCCAATTTCATGCTAAATTGTCTTACACAGGAAAAATAAATAAATAAAAAAATTCAATTCACAAACTCAAGGATTATTTTAGTCCAACACATTCTCTAATTCAACTTATAAATTGAAATCACAAAACACAAACATCATCAATTGCATATAAAATCAACACGTGTTCGTCTGTGGGTGCCTGTGAGTGAGACCATATATATCTGGAGTTGAAGATATTTCCTGTTGAGAGGTGAAAACATAGTTCTTACACCCAGACTGTCCAGGTCAGTTTGGCAATTAAATTGGTCAACAACCGCCAGAACCACTCAAAGACTGATTAAGCCTATGGTTGGCCCCCATTTTCTCAAAAAACTAATTTTCGACTACACATTCTCCCATAAAATAATATTACACGTAAATAAATAAAAAAATCCTAATTTTTTAACCACACATTCTCCATAAAAATCACATTCCAAAATACACTTTAATGGAGTCCAAACAAGGGCAAAACACTGCTGGAATTACTAGTAGAACAGTACCCTGGTTGATTCATTAAAAATTACACTAATCCGAGGTTGATACGAAACCGAAATTCAATGGGTAAAGAATCACATTGACCAAAAAAAAATAAGTAAATGATTACTTAGTATTGCTATTTTGTTGAAGCGTAATACGTGAAAATTTAATAGTTGACCGACCAGTACAATAGACATATTTTGCTCGTTATTTATTAATTAATAATTTATGATATATAGAGAAAAAACATTAGGTAAGATAAAAAGTAATTCATAATAAACCATCTAAAAACACTTCTTATTTTATTCAAGAACAAAGACTTTAAAATTATTATAGTTAATAGTATTCAAAAATAACATATAATAGCAATATTTTCATATATTTTCCAAAGAATGGCCCACTGGTTGAACCGCTGACTCTGTGATCCAGTGCTTTAGACAGGTTCATGTCTAGGTTGGATCTGCTATGGAAATGGTAGAAAGGAGACAAGTCAATAGGGTTCGTGTTGGTCTTTATTGTTTTAATTGTTTATTTGACCAAATAACTTTTGTTTCATTCAGTTACCATCACCAGTTATTCTAGTCAATGATGATTATTCTACTATACAAACCACAGAATTGATTGGAGCATAATATGGGTTTGGAAGGCTTTGGATGCACAAGAATTATAATGCAAATCCAAGGCCACCCCCAACACAATCTAAAAATCCATTGGAACAGAGCACTATCACTAGTATATCACTGCTTTACAGCTGCACACTAATTCAATGCCTCCAAAGCCTATAGCTGAACTTGAAAATTAAACAGTCCCAGATCTACACCTGGAGTCGCATAACTAATGAGAATCGAGAAAAAAATTTAGAGGTAATGTGAGGGTCCTTCCAGGTGGAAGGCAATCTATTTTTTGAATGAAAAAAGATGGATTAAGAAGCAAGAAACATTACAATCCCATACCTTGGAATACTGGATGTCCAAAGATAATATGCCAGGTTTGTTTGTCCGATGCAGAGGATAACTATTAAGCTGAGTATATTTCTCCACAGCATCAATTGATGCCAATGTTGGGGGTATCTGAAATTATGCAAATACATGAAGCATGTGAGATTTGCAGGAAAGAATTTTCAATATCTAAACTATAACACACAGAAACCCCATTTCATCGAGCAAAAACTCTACATCACTAAAAGCATGACCTGTCGCTTTTTCCTTAGCTGTGAAAGAGCAGCATTACAGTCTGAAAGCTCAGAAATGATATTACTTGATATTCCAGGACGGATTCTTTTCCCATCAGGACCAATCTCATCTTCCTCCGCAGCTGCAAACGAAATAAAGTTACAGAAATCAGCAGTTGTACACAAATATTAAATAAAATTATTCCACACGCAAAGAAGTCAAGAACCTCTTTTCCCATTGCTTAAGGCAGCAGTAATAACTGCATTTGGAGCTGCTACTGAAATGGGTATCTGTCTTTCTGCCTGTGCTAGTAATGCCACCGCCTCGTCCCTTTCCTTCTTTAGCCTTGCAATAACACGACATGCAGCATCATGCTGCAAGGACAGAAACAGCCATTAGTGGCAACCAAAAACCACATCAAAAGAATGCAGCAAGCCAATAACTAAATACATACCTGTAAATTTGAAAAAGGAAAATGAAACAAAATATGGAACAGATATTAAATGAAGGCAAATGAAATAGAAATTTAATATAAGAACATTGCATGCGTATCCATGTCGTGTATACATTTTGGGTTTTAAAGAATTTTTTTGTACTGAAAGGGGGAAACAGTAAATAATAACATACCATTGGTGGAGAAGAACACAGACTTTGCCCAGAACAAAGAGAAATCACGAGAATCCATATTTCAATTAGAATTTAAGCATCTCAGTAGTACCTGATATAAGGCATGACTGAGCTCTTGCCTAGCAGTATGTAATTGTTGCTCTAATGCAAAATTGGATAGCATCAAACCATCCCATTCCTAATTTAAGAAAAAGAGTTAGAAACCAAAAAGCATCACCCAATAAACTATATACATAAATATTTTGTTTGTGAGATATCCACTCAAATTTGAAACAACTGTTTTAGGAAACTTTATACAGATGAATGAACTTTAGAAAAACCAAATCAAAGAATAAAGCAGAAAAATTCCTCCAATTTACTACTATATCCAAGAGTAAACAGAAATGAGAATCTTCTCGAAACTAACTAGATGATATGGAGTATGTAGAAGAGCGATACAGTTGAAGAGTGTCTGTTATATATTAGTACAAGTGGGACTAGCCTAAGTTGCTATAGTGGCGGATTAACAGTTCAAAGATCCATGTATTCAAAACATTGAAACTGATGCTTTTGAAGTGGAATATTAAGCATCTTTAACACAAGATATTATGATTGCTAGGATTGGTCATTGGCGTAACCGTCATAAGTCAGTATAGTTAAAGTGTTCAAATATAATTGTCATCTATACAGGCTTTGTCAGAGCTTTAGTATTTTTTATTTTTTATTTTTTATTTTTGGGGAAAAGGTGTGGTCAAAAATAGGAAAAAATTTTGAGTTTATGTGCAAAATTATTTTATTGACACGATGTGTGGTTGAAAATGATTTTCTAGAGAACGTAGCTCAAACGGGGGCATAATCTCCCAAGTGATCCATAACAAAGTAAAATAAAATGAGACTGTTAACTCCAATTCAGCAGAAGACAATAATCAAGGATAGTGACATGAGAAAACAAACATGAAACCTACTTCTTGAAGAGTGAGTGGAAATAAGTTTAGTAGCTGAGTTCCAGCAATCTAAGTATCTTGGATAGCTCAATTTAATAAAATGTTCCATACTGATTAATTATAGTTTAAAGATAGTACATCCTCTTTCAATATATACAGAAGGGGCCAAACAATGTTCAAAGCAAAGGAGAGAAAATAGCCAACAAGAAGATTCCAAGGAACAGATACACGTACAATTTGAAACATTCCCAACATCCCGGGAATACTTGCAGCCTGTACTGGTCGGGGCTTCACTATCTGCACAAAAATATCTATAAAAATAAGCTTTAAACTGCTTGCCAGTCAAAACCCACAATAAAATAATAAAAAATCCAGAAAACCAAAAAAATAAGGACACACACACACACACACATAAAGCTTGCTAACCTTCCCAGTTTGGATTGGGACAATGTCATCCAAGGTTAGGGGTTCCCCAGTAATTGGACATTTTCCATAATCCTAATGAAATTTAAAGAGGGAAAACATACAAATACACTCCTGTTAAACAAATAGAAAAATGGTAATAGCCAATAAATAGAAAAATAAGAACAATTAAGATGTTTATAATTAAAAACTAACAGAAACCTGTTTTGTCTTTTCTACTGCAAGAGAAACCACACGAAAATGTTAAAAATATGGATATAAATCCATATTATTCTACCTGATAGTTTTCGAATTTTCTATATCAATTTTCCTAAATACATAATTGTGTAATAATGTAGAACATTTCTATTTAAATTTATTTGCAATGTAATTGTATATCTTGGTCATTTACATTTTTATCTCGTTAATTTGTTTAATGGTTTCTAACATACTGAACAATTAATTTAATAAAGAAATATATCACATCTCTAACAACTGAGCTTTTTAATAAATTGGTTCAACATCTCCTAGATTCAAGTGCAGCAATCAGGCGCCTCGTAGAAAATGACTCTGGCTTGCACATGAGGGGACAAGTTGAAGATTAAATTTAAATAAATACATGTGTCAACTCATCGACTGCTCAAGTTTTAGACGAGGTAAGAGCTTTTCAGAAGTTTTCCCTTTTCGTGTTTAGCAGACCATTTTATTCTAATTCGTGTTCTTCGTTCTGATTAACTGTAACCATAAAAATCTTTTCATAAATTTTATATTTTTACTTAGATTAAGCTACAAAGTGAGAAGTATACGTCATAATTCCCACTTCAGACGATCCAAAAAAAAAACTAATTTCTAAACCTAGAAATATCGAGAGAGAGAGAGAGAGAGAGAGAGAGAGGGAGAGTGCACCGAGATGTGTCGCTCAATCAAGCGCTTCTCAAAGAGGAGACCAGACTTCTTGGAGACTACAGGTTCCTCCGGCACCTCACCGGAAACTATACAGTCACAATTAAAACGGAAGATCAGACACATCAATGAATTATGAACACCTTATGGAAAGACGTAGGAAAAAAAAGTGATACACTTACTTGAACAATTCATCGTTCACGTCTCACTTAGACTGTATGTACGCCAGAGGGGGGAGAGAGCTAGGGTTTATGCAGAAGCTCTGTTCAGTATCACACTGAGAGGGAGGAAGGAGAGAGAAGGGGGCCAAAGTATCATAAAATACTAAGTTCAAGGACTCGACTCCACTTGACACAACCCGAACCAAAAAACTCGCATGGGATACATTTGATTTGGATCCAAATTTCTAAATGTGGAAATTGGACTCGACGCATGATTTTTAACTTTTCAATTCAAAAATCATGCGATAATTTAACATTTTAATATTAATAATAATATTATAAAATTATATTTATCAAAATACCCACGGTCACCTTCCACATCCACCTCATCCGATTTCACTTTCAAATCCTAAGTCATTCTTAGTGCTTCTTTCTCTCTATCCTCTTCCTTCTCTCTTCTCACTTATATATCTCCTCTCCATCACCCCCATCCACCCATTGGAAGCCACATCGATGTTCAACACTGTGTATTGCAGCGCTCAATGATTAGCATCACGCAAAGTTACAATACCTCTATGCGCAACAAGGAGCACCACTACGTGTAGTGTACGCCACCGTGATCTAATCCAAGGTTTTTGCATAGACACTGTGATTTTTGTTGGTGGTGGTTGGAATTTTGCAAATGGTGATGATGGTTTTGATGTGGTGATCACACAAGTAGTGGTGTAAGCGGAGGTGGTGAGGTGTCGCGAAGTTCAGTTAGTGTCTGTTACGAAAAAAGTTGTGATGAGGGATGGGGCAAGGTGGTGTGATGAGGGATGAGATAAAGAGTTCTTGTGACCAATTGTTTGTGATTGATAAATAATATATGACCTAAAATATGTATTCGACAAAATTTATAATTGTGACTCACAATTTATTAAGTTGTTACCAATTAATTTGATAATTTGTGATCATTAAATAAGTTATGACTTATAAAATTTGTTATTTGTAATCGAAAAATAATATGGACCTATTAATTTGATAAATTGTGATCGATAAATAAATTATGACCTATAAAAATTGTGATTGTAACAAAGAAATAACGTGTGACCATTAATTTGATAATTTGTGATGAGTAAATAAGTTGTAATTTATAAAAATAAGGCTCAAACATGGGCTAAGTATATAGACAAACTATATACATAGTAGGGTGAAAGGCACAAAACCCAACTTTTACCCCTATTGCGGATTACAATTATATTCTTTCATTTTGACGAAATACCATCCTACATGACATTTTTGTGTGAAAGACCCAACTCCCATCCAAATCCATCGATACAGCTGTTAACTCCACTTTAGGAGGGTCAAAATGAATAATTTCTAAAAGGGCAATACGGTCTTCCCTCACCTATCCACTTCTTAAAGGTACAATGGTAAATTTTTTTACCGACTTTAAAAGGGTAAAACGATAAATTTACATTTTTTCAAATCCCCACGCTACGCTCATCTTCTTCCCAATCCCACATCCCAGTTTTGCTATATGTCTGGTTTAGTGCTAAACAATTTTCATAAGCAGATTTTTGGATCTCAATTTCTTCACTAGAATGAAACCTCGATTATGGGTCCTTTTTCCACAATAAACCCAAAAGTATTCGTTTATTTCTCTTCAAGAAATGGAATTGGAGCAGGTGGATATGGACAATAATATATCATTCAGATTACTTTTAGAATAGTAAATGGAATAATCCATAATTTAGAGAAAGATATGTATCAGAACTTATTAGAAACTTAATATTTATAACGTATCTAGAATGATTTTACTATATAATGAAAAATTTAAGAATGTTTCGACGGTGGCATCTAGTTTACTTATTTTGCAACGAGGGGACAAAGGAAATGGCTTATATGTCAGTTAGGGCAAAATCAGTACTTAGTACAGAAGCTGCAGCCTCCATTGCTTCAATAGATCAAAGACAATTTTGGCACAAAAAACATGGCATATTAAGAGGATACTTCAAGGCTCAAGGGTGTGTTAGTAATGATGTAATAAGCAATATTTTCTTTTGTGAACACTGTGTGATGTCAACAGCTTAGGCTGCATTTTATTGTTGGGTATATACAATTCTAAACTTGTTCTAGGCTATCTACATGTTAGCAGATTGCCCTTCTAGTACTACAAGACATTGGGAACTTTACTTATATTTTTTCTAACATACCCTACATTGAATAATTGTTCAGATATGAGTAGTTCATATTTATTGATAACGTTGCACAATATATAGTGCGACATTAAAAAATTGATAAATCAACCGTACTCCTAACAAATAAAGTAGCTTATAATTTGAAACAAATAAAAAATGAAAGCAAGTCATTTTTATGGGACTGATGGAGTATTTCGTTATCTATTATAGACGATTTTTCTAAGAAAGGTTGGGGAAAAAAAAACTTATGCTTTTATATAAAGTTTAAAGATGGGAAAATGCTTCTAGAGAACCAATAGGAAAGATAATTGTTGGTATTTCAACAACGTGTTTGTTCGATTTTGAGAAATTTAAAAACGGATTTCAGAAAATAGAAATAAGAACACAGAGAATTTTTCACCCATAAAGGGTCTGGATGTTCGATCACAAAACCTACTCACCCGTTGAGCATCGACTGCGCGATTAAGCTTTAGATCCACTAAATCACCAAGAAACGTACAAATTTATTAAAAAATTACAGATTTCTTCAATTTCCCTCTAGCCTCTCTATTTGAAATATGGTAACACTAAACCTTACACAAAGATTTTGTATACAACTCTAAACACTAAATTGCAGAAAAATCATCACGAAGATGAATGATTACGAATTTGAAAGAACCCTAGTTCATACACACAGATAGAACATTCGAGAGAGAAAGAAAGAACTGCACAGCCGAAAAAATGAAGAGCCCAGAGTTAAATACTCAAAACCAATCGTCACAGATCAAGGGCAGCCAAAAAGCCACGTGTACGGCAGATGGCTTCACTTGAGGGAGGCCAAAAAGTTTATTTGCAAAGGACACGTTTTTGGTAATGGGCTGGGTACTAAACCAATTAGATAGGCCCAATTCTTTAGAAATAGCGAGGCAACCCAAATAATAACAAACTCCACCTTGATGAGCTATTTCTTGTTTAATTAATGGATCTAGAGATCGCACTAGCTTCATTTGATCTCATAACCTGTAAAAAACAAAAATTGAAATTAGTTTGAATTCTATACATGATTTAAGATTCTAGTTTATCACTAACTGTCAATTTTATGAAATATTCAGAATCATTAAACAATTTTTGAACTTGTTTAAAGGAAGTATCTTAGTACCTACATCAGAGGGATTATATTCAGTAGGGATTTTAACTAAAGAAATCATACCTTTTTCAACCATGTTCCTCACGAAGTGGAATTTTATGTCAATATGCTTTGTTCTATCATGATATACTGGATTTCTACTCAAATCTATAGCACTTTGGTTATCAGTAAATATTTTTACAGAATCATTTTGATAACCAATTTCATTTAATAACCCTCTTAGCCAAATACATTCTTTAACAGCATCACATGCAGCAATATATTCTGCCTCCGTTGAGGATAATGCAATTAATTTTTGCAGTTGTGATTTCCAACTGATACAACTATCACACAGAGTAAAAATATAAGATGAAGTAGATCTTCTTTTCTCTAAATCTCCAACAAAGTCTGAATCACAGTAACCCTTCAGAATTATACCTTCATTACATCTTTTAAAATTTATTCCTAGTTGACATGATCCTTTTAGATATCTAAGCATCCATTTAACTGCTAGCCAATGAGTTTCACCTGGGTTTGCCATGAATCTACTCAAAATACTTATTCCATGAGTTGGATTTGGTCTAGTGCATACCATAAGATACATTATAGATCCTATTGCATTAGCATATGGGACATTTTTCATTCTATCAATTTCTTCTTCAGTTTTTAGTGATTGATCACATGATAATTTAAAATGATTTGCAATGGGCAGGGATACAGATTTACATTCAATCATAGAAAACTTATCTAGAATTTTCTTTACACAGTTTTCTTGTTTTAGACATATCATGTAATTATTTATGTCCCTTTCTATATCCATTCCTAGAATTCTTTTAGCTTTACCTAGATCTTTCATTTCAAATTCTAATTTCAGTTTAAACTTGACAGATTCTATTTCAGATTTATCATGGCATGCAAGTAACATATCATCAGCATACAATAGCAAATAAATGGATTCAAGACCACCAGATCCCTTGAAGAAGAAACAGGAATCATAATTACTTTTCATAAACTCCAAGGTTTTCACATAAGAGTAAAATTTAATATACCACTGCCTAGGAGCTTGCTTAAGCCCATAAAGTGATTTTCTCAATAAACAAACCTGTTGAGTTTTTGATTTTATTTGATACCCCTTTGGTTGGTTCATGTATATTTCTTCATCAAGTTCTCCATTAAGAAAAGTTGTCTTGACATCCAATTGTTCTAATTCTCAGTTAAAATGTGCAGTTAATGCAAGAAGGATTCTGATTGAGGTGTATTTAGCAACTGGAGAGAAAATTTCATTGTAATCTACAACTTCTTTTTGGGTGAAGCATTTTGCTACTAATCTAGCTTTATACCTCTTATTTTCTGAGTTAGAGTCATCTTATTTTATTTTGAAGATCCACTTACAATCAATTATCCTTTTGTCTTTTGGTTTATTTACCAAGACCTAAGTTTCATTTTTTATCAGAGAATTCATTTCATCATCCATAGCTTCCTTCCAGAAATTTGAATCAGGACAACTAACAGCTTCTTCATAGGTGTTTGGTTCTGAATTCAAAGTATCTAGACCAGAAAATAAGGTGACAAATTCATCAGTATTAAATCTGGTAGAGGGTATTCTATTTCTCCTCTCCCTATCTCTTGTTAGTTGATAATCAGTAAGAGATATATTTTCAGATTCAAATACAGGTTCAGGTAGATCACTTTTAGCTTCAGATTGAGTGGTCTCCCCCTCAATCTGATCATTATGATCACTGGGGCTATCAATTTGATTTTTCAGAACAGTTTCTTTTATGATTGTAGATTCATTTGATTTTGGTCCAGATGAATTTAAGCATGGCATATCCTTTTCATTGAATATGACATTTCTACTTATAATAACTTTGAAACCATTCTGTTCCTTCACCCAAAGTCTATATCCTTTGGTTTCCTCTCCATAACCAAGAAAGACA